CATGTACCTGTACTATGAGCACATCGCTGCATGTGGGCATAGGTGAAAATTCGAAGGTCACAACAAGAAGGCACACTTACAACTGCCATCTGCCTCTGCACTTGATGAAACTATGCATGATTCTCCTTAAGCATGGGTTTTGATTCCTTCAGTTGCAAAGGAAAGTTGCAGTCCTGTTTGGCTAGAATCACTTCCTTTAGTGTCACCTCTCTCAACATTGACAGACTCTTCACCTCAAAAAGTCCTCAGACAGAATCCTCAATGACAACCTGGACAGGGGTTGCCGAGCAAGTTCCAAACTAATTGAATCATCTGCATAGATGCTCATCAGTGGTTGCGAGTGAACTTTCTCTCATAAATGTATTTGTGGATTTTGGGGGGTCTTGTAATAAAAAAACTCTATAACTTTAAAAGTGCATTTGCCATTTTACAAGGTACATGTATTCAGGGAGCCGCAGCTACTAGCAGTGTTGTAGGTCTCGAGACCGGTCTCGGTCTCGGTCTCGGTCTCGAGACCACTTTTTGCTGGTCTCGGTCTCGGTCTCGGTCTCGGGAGCTGTGGTCTCGGTCTTGGTCTCGGTCTTGGTCCCCTTTGGTCTCGATATTTTGGCCGGTCTCGAGTTGAGACCAGCCAAAAAGTGAGGGGGCGGATTCCGCCTCGGCCCCAGTTTAGGATTAAACAAAGAATCAGTTGAGGGCAAATGTGACTGCAGTGTGATGCTAATAGACATGTCTCTCTTCACTTTGTGAGTGAGGCATAGTCCAACAATCATTGCTCCTTTTCTTATTTCTCGTTTTTATTGTGGGATGGTTTGTTGAAACAAGCACTTTATAGCCATCCTCATTGATTCCAAATACAACTGGGATTAAAATCTTATGAATCAAGATTGAAACATTATTCTTACCGTCAGATTTTTTGTTTTTAATATGGGAAACAATTCAACTCTTATTCCCCAGAAATATTGGTGATTTTTTTTCTATTTTCCTTTTCAATTTTTCCTTTATTCGTGGAGGTGGGAAATATTTTTTTTTCATTATATTTATTAATGGATATTCATCAATTCGTAGACCGTTAAATTGCTAATAGTGGTGGACAGCTGAATTTTGTGAGCTCTTTATTAAAATAGACACGACTTGGGAATAGAGAATGCAAATTACGTGAAATTTTCAGAGTTACTACTCAATAACATGTTCTTTATCCCAATCATATTTTTTTATGAAGTGGAGGGTGCCATTTTTTTTTTTTTTATCATACTCGCTAAATGCTGTTTACGGCCATCACAATAAACAAATGAAATATTGGCAATTTGTTGTACATGTACTTGTAAATTACTAAAATATTTAAGTAAATCGCCCGGCAAAGTAGCCGATGCGGGCGATACGCTGGTACAAAACACAAAATAGGTGTGCGCACGCAGCCATGAATCCTAAAAGTACATGTACATCTCGCCCACCACATTCAGTTTGTGACAGCGCCCTTCTATTGTGTCGGCCATATTCTCCAATAGGCTAATGGCGATGATGACGGCGGGCAGATTAACAGAAGATAGATCAGGCAAATATGGTCCATCGATCTTCTATAGTACATTGTATATGTAATGGTATTGACATTATACACAAATAAAGTGGCATTACATTTCAGCCTAAGCCAGGCCTCTCTGGCTACCACCTCTCATTTTTTGGGTCTACATGAACAAGTCTATATTCCATGACTGAAATTTAAAAAAATAAATCAATATTTTCTTGCTCCAAATTTTTTTCGAATCAGGTTTACAAGGAGGTCCAATGTAAAATTAAAGTTGCATTTAAATATCCGTTAGTGGTCATTGCTGAAACCAAGGGCTGGCTCTGGAGTTTAGGGTCCGAGTTCCTATAACAGATGAAACATCCACCTTTAACTTTTTACTTTTGTCAAGTTTCAACATGTTCAAGTTTTGCAAAAACTAGTACAAATTGTCGTACTCCTAAGTTAGAGTTTCTTCATCAGATTTACACTTTATAGTAGTTAAACAATATTTTTTTAATTGATTGTGACAATAACAAATTCTGTTGCCATGTTGTAATTCATGGCATGAAGCAAACACGAAGAGCACTCGCATGACACAATTAAGTACAAGTGATTCCTAACTTTCAATCACTTCCTTCACATCCCCATGAACATCAACATCTCAAGGACAGACTGTTCAGCTGTAATTAGTGTCTTGTTGTTTATTTAGATTATTATTATTTATTATCCGCGGTCTCGGTCTCGGTCTCGGTCTCGGACCATTTCGGTCTCGGTCTCGGTCCGTCTTGAAGGGGCTGGTCTCGGTCTCGGTCTCGGTCTCGCAGCTTCAGGTCTCGGTCTTGGTCTCGGTCTTGGACTATCCGGTCTCGACTACAACACTGGCTACTAGTAGCCAGCTGCTGTCTACATACTTGTATGTAAGATCTGGTAGTTCAGCTAGAATTTCAGTCCATATTTGGCATGGGCTGTGGAATGCAGCACTTATCAGACAAGACTAAAGTTGCTTTCTTTCAGTTGAGTTTCTGTTGCTTTTCCATCTGGATCATTGATGTAGCCAGCTTGACCACCGTTCATAATATCCTGCACTCTGTTGGGACAAATGACAAAATAAGTGAAACGGTTTAGCATGAAAAGTTGCCAAAATCTCATCACAAACTCTTTAAGTCCAGGCCTACAGAGATGTTAATCAAGTTGTAATCAGGGGCCTGATGGTGGCAATGTAGAGTAAAACACAGTGCAATCATACGTATATCATAAAGCTATCCAGAAATAGTGTGATCCCTGGACATCTCCATGACAGTGACCATATGGTGACCCTGTGCACAAACATGGGCGTCGCTCGTATTTTTTCTAATGGGGGGGCAAAAGATATTTTTCCCAAAAAATTCCTGTATTTCTCAACATATTCTCGATTTATCAGTTTTAGAGGGGGGCAGGGACATTTTAACCCCCCCCACACATTAAATGTACACAAATATGACTTCACTCCTCTTGTCCTTCAATTTCTTTTTTTTCCCTCTTTTTTTGGGCTCCGGGCGGGAGGGGGGGGGGAGACAGCGCCCTGCCCCCCCCCCTTGCGATGTCCATGTGAACAAACCCTATGAAAATGGTCTGAAAAAAATCATAGTGTTTTCTCGGTAATTGCTTCAATATGTTCCCCAGCTGATGGCTGTTAGGTCACTGCAGGGAACAATTAGTGATGGGAAGATTCCCATACCTGGCCATCCCTGTGCACAAACCTTACGAGACTCAGTGGTCTGAACATTTCTATTTTAAGTGTTTCCTAAGTACTTCAATATTTTTCTCCAGCTTAATTTTGCTTTTTAGTACATATATTATCACTTTCTGATGGATGATAGGTCACTGATGAAGGGAAAAAATAGTGATGGCCAGATATGGGAATCTTTCCACATCGGATAATCATGATAATCCACCGTCTGACCATTTATGGTCCGTGGTCTGACCACCGCACCGCCGCGCCAGTACACAGTGGCCAAACCCGGCCGTACAGACATGATGGGATACCATTGTAAACATTTACAAAGTCGACATTTTCCATCATGAAAATCAAACTGCAACCAGGCTAACCTTTCGCATAGACTTCTTCCTGGCTTCGGAGGTCATCGACGTAAAACCACTACATTTTATCCTCCGTTTTTTTCTACATGTTCATCGCGCAAAGCGATGCAAGGTGTCCGCCATCTTGGATGCCGCGGTAAACATTCATCTGCACTTCTGTACTGTATGGTACATGGTGGGCGCGTACTGCTGCTCGACACCCTGGGCACGTTGTTTGTTTGTTTCTGAGTTGTTTGTTTATTTCTGAGTTCGTATATATTTCTGAGTTGATCGTTTATTTCTGAGTTTGTCGTTTATTTCTGAGTTGTTCGGTTATGTCTGAGTTGTTCATTTATTTCTGAGTTGATTGTTTATTTCTGCATTGATGATTTATTTCTGAGTTGTTTGTTTATTTCTGAGTTGATCGTTTATTTCTGAGTTGTTCGTTTATTTCTAAGCTGTTTGTTTATTTCTGAGTTATTCGTTTATTTTTTTGTATTTTCGTTTAATTTTGTGGTTTTGTTTTACACATGTTGTATTTGTTTTGGTCTTTTTTGCCCTATTGGCCACCCATAGTATTATGCAAGAAGTTTGGTGAATTCACATCCACAATCCCACACGAAAAACAAATTTTTCTCGGCAACAACAATCAACATACATTTGACATACGGCGAGTGGGGGCCGCCATTTTTCTTTCTAATCATCCCCATAAAAAATACACGTGAAAATAGCCAAACAAATTCGCAAATATAAAAAATCTTCCCGCTGTACCTTGTGTTTTTTCTACTCCAACAGAGTAGCCAACATCTCTTCTCCAGGTTGCAATCTTGATTTCTTGAGGGAAAACTCATATTTGTCTTTAAACAAGTAATTTTTGGCCTCTCCCACAAGCCACGTTTCACGCGTAACTGTATGCAAACATAGACTCGCTACACGTCGCGTACGCGCTACAGCGTGAATCGCACTATCAATCTTTCACCACAGAGGGCGCACTCTTTTATTTTTGTGAAACAGCCGTGATCTACAACACTTTTGGACACAGCACAAGCTAATCATAACGAAGCCAAAATAACCCTTTTTTAATTGTTTAATAGTGTTTTTAGAAAACTGAAAACATTGTTCAAAGTTTTGTGTGCCTGGCAATTTCCGTCTGTTTCTACTAAAAGTTGCATGCTTGAAGCTTGAAAAAGCCATTGAAAACTCCTTAGCTGGGAGAGCATTTTCCTAAAATATCTGCTTCATGAAGCATTACTTTGTTCGTAGGATATATTGAATAGTCATTCACCATTTAAAATCAACATTTGGGGTAGGTAGGTTGGTAAAAACAGTTTCGAAAAAAGATCGAAATTTTTTAACATTGCATTTCTATTGCAGTGCACTGTAAAACTATAAAATATCTTTTTAAAAATGACCATGTTGTTCTTCATGCTTGTAGAATGAGTCCTTACCTGCTTCTGAAAGGCAAAAAGACCAGACAAGGAAAAGCCCTACAGGCACTTTTGATAGACAACATCTCATTGAGTTCCTAGAGAAGAAAGCTAAAGAAGAAAAAGACTGGGAAGACAAGGTTCCGTATAAAGCTGGAGAAAAAAGAGGTAAGATCCGAGTTGTTCTTCAAGATACATGTACTCCTAAGTTTGTCCTTGTATGGTCATTAAAGGATAACAATTGTTGTAATGTGCATAGTGATCGGAACTGAATACTGGTCCACTGGGTATTGGCAGTGTTGTAGTCTTTTTTCTGAGTACCAAGTACTGCTGAATACTTATGTAACCAAGTACGAGTACTTTTACCTCTGGAGTACAAGTACAGGTCTACAAGTACTTGTATTTCCGAGTACGAGTACTTGTAGTTCCGCGTATGAGTACGAGTACTTGTATTCCGAGTACAAGTACTTCTATGTCCGAAAACGGCCATACGGCAAATGGTTCATTGTGCGTAATTGGCCCAGGCCCAGTCAGACCGATATACAGACCCACTCACGGCTAGCTGTGAAACGTGGTTGTACGGATGTGCAGACGTTAGTATACATTGTAGGCTTGGCCGTGTTTTCTGGAAAGCTGTTTTTGCGAATTTTTTTTTTTTAAAGCAGCAATCCAGCAGTTTATCATATATACCTGCCAACCATTCCAAATTTGGCGGAATCATTACGAAAATACGAGCTGTATTCCAAAACTGTAATGCCGAAAAATTGGTGAAAACGACTTGGAACAGCGTGTTTGTCACACACTCGCTTTTCGGTTTGTATACAGTATGGATATTATAGCAATATTATTAACGGAATTTGCACTTTTCTGAAACGGAAAATCATTGGCCCTAACATTGCCATGTGAGTATGTGTTTTCATCATGTTCGTAGTTTTTACGAAACGTTTTTCGAACTTCTTGTGACATCATCATGACTTCCAAGGCAACGAAAAAGGGACAGTTTATAGTGACAAGTATTGAAAGCAGTTTGAGTTTATCATAACATCCAGAAAATAAAACAACATGCGTTTTGCAAGGTATGTTGGCAGGATATTATTAGTTATCCTGCGAGCGCGAGTGGAACACGGAATACTGTAGTGCGTCTGTGTCCCACATACCACAAGGCCGAATGTGGGACACAGACGCACTACATTTTCAGTGTTCCACGAGTGCGAGCGTGATAACGAATTTATCTTTAAGCAAACTTGACGCGCAGTACAGTTGGAACTAGCAGACTTTACACGGACATTCAGCAGTTTAGCGTATGCAGCTGGAATGTTGCCCGCATCTTGGAACAGCGGAATACGCAGAGTGCGGTATGGACCGTGGCAGTGCGGTATGGTTATATGTAGCACGGCTTGTTGCCATGGATCGACCAATCAGGATCGAAGATTCAAGTTTGCTTGAAGATAATATATATTGTTATTATTAATTTCACCTCAACAAACAAAATACAGACAGTAAAAAAAAATTAATAAAGAAAACCCCTAAGCACGAATGCACAATAAGCTCTGGCCTGGTTCCGAAATGTCTCACTTCATATGCAAAATAGACAAACACGCGCATCTATCGAGACAAAGGGGCGTGTTCCAAAAAGTTTTGCCAAGAGTGTATTTACTGACGACTGCATTGCATTTGGTCAATTTTTGGTCAGTTGGTAGTTATATTTTAATGGGAAACTTAAGCGTATTCTCATAAAGCTCAAACCGCGTTTTGACCAGATCCATCGCGGTTTGACCGATCATTAGTTACGAGCAAAACATCAAGCACTTCTGCCTCCTTTGCAAGTCAATGCAGCTGACTTACAATCTTATTGAAATATGTTCATAACGCGGTGACCGTGGTCGTGTGTGCGGTGAACGCAATTGGCTCCACAGAGGCATAACTGCTGATTGGCCACTGCGTTTACATTCCTTTGATGTCTGGAGACGTCTGCATTTTGACTTTACATACAAGTATGTAATTTATCCACTGGATTGTTGAATATACATGTGTAGAGTGCAACATTTTTTTCCTCGATAGCAATGCTGGTGTTGTCATGGAGGAAGGACTCTTTTCGGGTGAATGTTTGGGATTTTGAAATTACAAGGAAACCAACATTTAAATACTGCAGATTTTTGAGAGAATCATCATATTCTTGTTGAAATAATACTTGTAATATTTTGGATGTACATGTAACCTATGATTAAGTGTCTTCTCTAGGGCACGTTATCTAATGTTATAATATAATTTTTTGTCATATTTATCAGGGATGTATTTTGACTATCACTGACGTGGTTTAGGTGGGAATGGCGCCCTGCCAACATTTTATGCATTTTTATTTAGTGAGGGCTAAATATTGTAGTATAGCATACAGCGCACTTTGAACATTTGGTTTAATCGCTTCCCATAGGTTAGGGGTATCTTCTTTCCAAGAAAATGTCACTGTTTTCCCATTTACCGTTGAACTGTCACACTTGCTACTGCAACAGACTCAACCAGCTGATGGGGCTGCATTTGGCCTGCTCCCATGAGAAAATGACGCATATTAAAGTTGTAGTTTCCGCTTCATGGTTGCTTCTCGGCAGGATCTTGTTTCATCAAAGGCTTCCCTTCCATGTTACTAGAATCGTCCTGAAACCAACATTTGAGAGTTACAAATTAATCATCATGCTGACATCCTGTTCTGAATACTACCATTACCCTTGTACCCTGTACAACCAGTGGAACCAAAGAGAACTGATATGAACTGCAGATTTTGTTTAAGTAAATCCAATTCATTTTTTTTCCTTCATTTTCTCTGCTTCGAAACACACAATGCATGATATTTTCTGTGACTCACCAAAATAATGCAATGTGCACACAGCAGTTCACAGTTTATTTGGGGTTCACTGAGTATTTCAGGCTAAACATAAGGTATAGAAACATATATATCGCCTATCTGCCCGAAACGGGTTTCAACATAGATTCTTTCTTCATGTGCCTTCTGGCTCTTTTCTTCTTGTTTTGCTGAAGTCATTTGTCATTTATACTTTGACATGTATTATTTACAAGTTTTCTCCATTTTGGACGATTATCTACAGTACTACTCCACTCGTCAAGTACCTTCCCACATTTGAGTGCACTTTTGCAAGTGTCTTTAAACCTGAGTTTGGGACGTCCAACTGATCTTGAGCCATTGGCAAGTTCACAGTACATTATGCTCTTTACTGGTCTTTCGCCGAACAAGCGTAGCCTGTTCCTGACCAGTTTCAACTCAATGTCCTCAACACCAGCTAACCCTAGGACTTCATCATTAGTGATAAAGTCGTCCCATTTAAACTTTAAAATTAGCCTCAGATGTCTCTGCTGTGTAGTACGTACAACTTGATGGTAGTACAGGGTCCAAGTCTCACTTCCATATGAAAGTAAGGGCATGAGACATTGGCTGTAGACCATTATCTTGGTTTCTACTGTTAGATCTCTAGAATCAAATACCCTCTTTCTGAGTCTGCCAAAAGAACAGGATGTGGCTTCGATTCGAGCATTGATTTCCTTTTTCATTGAGCAATCTTTGCTGACCTGACTGCCTAAGTACTTGAAGTCGTCGACATTTATCAACTTTACTCCATCAACATAAAAATCTGCTGGATTTCCAATGCACATACACTCAGTTTTAGCTGTGTTAATTTTGAGACCCATTTACTTTGCTACAGTGTCATATGCAGTTAGAAGAAGCTGCAAACCAACTGAGGTATCACTGAAGATGGCAATGTCATCGGCATACTGTGCTTCACGTGTGTAGCTGTTGAGAACTTTGGACTTGGCCTTTAGTCTTTTTTAAGTCAAAGATGTTGCCATCATAACGAAAGCGCACTTTGATGCTACATGAGTGCTTAATGTTCTTAAAGGCAAGGTAGAGAAGAACAGCAGCATAAATGCCAAATAAGGTTGGTGCAAGCTTGCATCCTTGTTTAACACCACTGTTATATTCAAAAGCTTGAGTGAGCTCACTATCAACGATGAGACGAGCATGAACATCAGTGTAAAACTTCCCAATGATCCGTACAAACTTAGCAGGGCAGCCAAGTTTGCCAAGTATCTTGAAGAGAAGTTCTCTGTTGACTGAATCAAAAGCTTTTGTAAAATCAACAAAAGCAATATAGAGATTTGTGCGATGCTCTCTGCTCTTCTCCATTAGTTGTCTAAGGGTAAAGATGCCATCGATGGTGCTTCTACCACTGCGATATCCTGACTGAGACTCTGGATACACATTCTCTGCTAGGCGTTGCAGTCTCTGTAGAATAATATCAGCAAATGCTTTGCCAACTACACTAAGTAGTGCTATGCCTCTATAGTTGCCACAGTGACTGCGGTCACCCTTCTTGAAGAGGATAGTGATGTTGCAATCTATCAGGTCTGCAGGAATGTTATCTGAAGTAGTCCAGAACATTGTAAACAGGGTTTAATAGAAGAAATGCTCTCAGACGCTGTCCACCATGAACCAGGATTTCTGGAATAATGCCATCGGGACCTGGACTTTTTCCAAGTTTGGTGTTTTTCAGGGCAGTATCTAAATCCTCTTCAGTGGGAGGGTCATCAAGACTTTCCGTGATTGGATGATCTTCTACATGTATATCATTAACAATATCCACGTCAACATCAGTTGGTAGATTGAGAAGTGCTCAACCCATCTGTCCTTGCATTTTTCTGGAGATGTTAACAGCTCACCATCCTTGGTTTTAATAGGGTGTGTGCTCTTACATCTAGGACCGTAGACGGTGTTGAGCGTGGCGTAGAATTCTCTGGAGTTCCTATCCTTTGAATAGCGGAATGATGCATTATTACAGAAATTAGGTCAAAGGTCACAGTAACATTAAAGGTCATGGTGACCTACTTTTCACAGAATTCAATTTTTACAAAAGAATTGACATGGTTATGGCAATTCTCATTATTTTAATACCAAATTCGCATATAGGCCTATTTGATGAAAATTGACATGGTAATGGCATATTTTTACCATAAGGGTGGTGTTTTAGGCACATTGATTTGGGGCCAATGTTTCAAAGATTCTGCAATTATATTGGCTCATCGTGTGTCTCTCTTGTGCAGTGGCCGTCTATCCAACTCACACTGGAGGGAGCTGGGCTTCATAATCAACATTGAGAAATCTTCCCTGATCCCCTCTCAGAACTCGATGTTCCTCGGGGCCTCCCTTGACATGACATTGGGCAGAGCCACCCCTTCCATCGAACTTTGTATGGCCTTGGAGGAGTGTGTCCATCTTGTTCTGTCATCAGTGACACTTCCAGCTTGAGGCTGGCTTTGTCTCATGGGCTTCATGGCAAGCATGGTAGACATTGTGCCTTCGTGCAGAATGCACATGCTCCCATTTCAACTTCAAATACTTTAACATTATCATCCACGGAACCAAACCTGCCATCACCAAACCTTTTCCGATAAATCTGATGATTCGGTCCCATCTGAAATGGTGGCTCTCACATCAGAATATTCGTTGGGGTTCGCCATTTCCACGACCCTTCCCATCACTGACTCCGACCACAGATGCATATTATTATTCATGGTTTATTTATGTCATTTAAAAGACACATGGCAGCCCGAAGGCTGAATTATGGTCATTTTACTATAGTTAAAAACATTAAAGTTAAAACAAAATCGACAATGAACAATGATCCTAAAAGCTAAAATCAGACTGGTGTATAGATGCACATAAAAACACTAGAAAATGTACTTAAAAATATGTTAAGGAAGTGTTTGGGGGGAAGAGGTATGGAAAGCTGACCAGGGAATGGGTTTGGCTGGGTGAATGTTATTGTTATTGGAGAATTTTATGCAGATTCTGGATTTCCAACGTTTTCTGTTTCCGTAATATTGCCCAAAAACTTCTGGCGAAGTATAGGCCCTAATTTACAATAATGTTATTGTTATTGGAGAATTTTATGCAGATTCTGGATTTCCAACGTTTTCTGTTTCCGTAATATTGCCCAAAAACTTCTGGTGAAGTATAGGCCCTAATTTACAATAATGGATGGACTGGTGACAAGTTTCATAAGCAATGCAGTCAAGAACCTGATAGACATCAATGCAGTGTGCGCAGTGGAGTACTTGAGGACCAGACTAAAAATAATTTTCAATGGGTTTGCACCTCGTGTTTGTATATATCGCGTGTGGATGTGTGTGTATTGTGCATGTACTGTGCAGTGACGATCGTGAGCTACATGTAGCAATTCGTAAACACATTGGTGTCAAAATTGTTGCGATGAGACCCATCAGCAGTGCGAGATTTTGATCAAGGAATTTAAGAGAATGGTTGGAAGAACTGGTAATAAAGTGTCATTGTGGATGGAAATCAGTTTGAGCTGCAGTAGTGCTTTATAAAAAACAGCCACCACCAACACAAACATGTTTTGGAAGCCTTTGAGTTTATGAGTAAGATTAGTAACTTAACACCGTTAATATTTTTTGTGTGAATCATTTCTTTCTCTTTGCAAACATGCAAAAGTAATAACATCACACACAGAAAAAGACATTATTGAATCAATCACGTATGGATTATATTATTTAATATCCAGTTATGTTTTTCCTCATTTTCCCCCCATTTTTTTTCTTTACTGAAGCGACAAAATTTCCAAACATTACAGAAATTATGGTACATAAAATGTACATGTCATATACGGACATACGTGCATGTACATGTAATACATGTACATATAATACATGTACATGTACATGTATACATGTCAACCGAAGTTCGTGGATTTTTCATTTTTGTCTAATCTCACCCCTGATTTACACAAAAAAGTAATTTCTCTTTCAATCAAATTTTACTTTGCGACAGTAAGTGTATCATCACAATGACATTCTGATGTCATAAACATGTACTCTGCATTTGGAAAAAATTCCCATACATGTATGTATATTTTTATTCTGATCACAAAACGTGAAAAACTATTGTGTTGTACCTGTAGTTTGTTTTTTGTAATTGTTTTGAGATCTGTGTTTTTCTCACTGTGTGAAAACAAATCTTGGGTTTAAAAGTAGAACTGGTTTGAAGGTTTGAGATTGTGTTTTTCCTCAGGTAAAATATATGAAACCAAGAAAGCAGAGCTGATGAAGAAAACAGAAGAAAATGTGAAGCTAGATCCTGAATGGGAACATGCTCTAGAAGAGGCTACAGAAGAAGACTTGGTGAATCTTGCAGGTAATGCAAAATATGAAGGTCAGGTCAAAGATTGTATCCGTATTTACAGCTGCAACAGTTAAGATTTTGTAGTTGACATCTATACTATAATTCCGGGAATCTCTGTGTGTCTGTCTGTCTGTCTGTCTGTATTTTGATTATCTCCCGAACCGGGTGCCGTATGAGTTTGAAAATCAGCGGGTGTATTGCTTGGGACACCAGGATGTGCAGTGCCAAGTTTGAAGTGGTTTGGATGAGCGGTTCTCGAAAATTAAAAAGCTGCAAAAAAGCAGCATTTTTTTAGCCTCAACTTTGCAGATTATAGCCTAAAACACACACAGTCCTTTTCAATTGTTTACGTCATGTTTGAGCTAAAACGCGCGCGCTCAATATGACGCAACAATGGAAAAAGGATGGGCACACGCATTGTAGGGCGATCATTGCCCAGGGTATTGGTGAATAGCATGCACTGCGTACCATGTTTCCGTAACTCACTTACGTGAGTAGCTGCACGGGCACATGCATTTTGCAGGCGACTGAGCAACCATCACTGTTGGCTCATCCTTTCTATAATTCCAGGAATCCTTCTGTGTGTGTGTCTGTCTGTCTGTCTGTCTGTCTGTCTGTAATTCGATTATCTCCAGAACCGGGCACTGTATGAACTATGAAGTTGAAAATCGGTGGGTGTATTGCTTAGGACACCAGAATGTGCAGTGCCAAGTTTGAAGTTGTTTGGACGAGCGGTTCTTGAAAAAGCTGCAAAAAAGTTATATTTTCTGAGGCAAACGTGCCAGCATATAGCCTAGACCACCACGTACTGATGTTCTTTTCAATTGTTTACGTCATGTTTTAGCTAAAGCGCGCGTGCTCAATATGACGCAAACAATGCAAAAAGGAAGGGCACGCGCACGTGCATTGTAGGGCGATACCATTGTCCAGTATGGGTGAATAGCACTGCATACCATGTTTCCGTATGTACACGTACGTGGTGGCTGCACGGGCACATTATTTTTGCAGTCGACTGAGCGACCATTGTTGGCGGTTGACTGAGCAACCTTATGCAGGGCGATACCAATGTCCAGTAGGGGTGAATACCTATCTTTTTGCAGCGTTTTCGAGAACCACTCGCCCAAACAACTTCAAACTTGGCACACACTTTGACTTGAGTGTGCTTCAATCTGTGAAAACAGCACCATTGAATCGCGTGCGTTGTTTGCACAAGCAGTTCTCAAAAAATTTGCAAGCATGCAACCACTACCAGTGGCCAAGCAATTTGTGCTTCCTGAACATGCACATTTAAGACGGGCACTCGCATTTAAAATCTTTGATGGAGATGCTCAAGTTATTCATTTTTTAACTTACGTGTACATTGGGGCAAATTTTATGGGTTCAATAACTATTTCTTGCATTATGAGCAGTTTTTTGGAAGGCCGTTCTCAGCGATTTGTTTTTTAGAACGTGCTCATCCTTACTATAATTCCAGGAATCTCTGTGTGTGTGCGTGTGTGTGTGTCTCTCTGTTTGTCGATTATCTTCAGAACCGGGCACCGTATGAAGTTGAAAATTGGCGGGTTTATGCTCGGGACCTCAGAATGTGCAGTTTCAAGTTTGAAGTTGTTTGGATGAGCGGTTCTCGAAAAAGCGGCACAAAAGCAGCATTTTCTGAAGCCTTAATGTTGTGTGATGTCACAATTAACTACACGTGTGTACGTACGTGTGCAAAGAGCTAGCTGACCTGGGGGCTATTCCATTATCAACAATGGGGAGTTCACTGGGGGGGGGGGGGAAGGGGGGCTATTCCATCACCAACAATAGGATAAACAATAGCACAGTTTTTTCTATGTTTTCTTACTATAATTCCGTCCATATTAAAAAATGTGCGTTCAACCTGTGAGTGTACGTGTGCGTTCAACCTGTGAAAACAACACCATTGAATCGCGTGCGTTGTTTGCGCGAGAAGTTCTCCAAAACGCCGCAAGCAACCAGTGGCCAAGCGATTTGCCCTTCCCGAACATGCACATTTTAGACGGGCACTGCACTAGTCATCAACAAAGAACAAAAACATTGCAAACAGAAATTTAATGGATATTGGCTAACTGATCACAAGGTCGAGTACACTCAAAGATATTTGCTACAAACTAGAAAGATTGGAAGTGGAGGAAGTCATTGACAGTAGGTTTCTGTTCACATTTTAATTTGAATGTGGAAAATTGTAGGTAGAAGGGAAGCGAGATTCAGGTAAGGAGTTCTAAAGAGAAGGTAGTATTAAGGGGAAAAATATATCCCAAATTTGCTAGTTTTATGAATAGTGAATGGACGTGATGATGCAGGAAAGCCAGTAGATTACTTGAAAGAGCAATCGGGGGAATTGATGAAGAAACTTATGGAAGCCACAGATTGTCGGACATGGATAGTTTCCAGGGAAGATGCCAGGTTATGCATGACTACAAGATTGGAGATCATCTCTAAATTTTGTAAAGTGATGTTTACAAATGTATGTGATATTTGTGATTATTTTGTAGTGTGCTTCACATTTTGTACTATGTAGACCTGTACCCACTGTTCATGTATCTTTTTACTTATTATTCCTTTTACATGAATAGCAAAACAAAATTCATTTTTAATTAAAGGGCCACTGGTTAAAATAATTATAAACAAAACAATGGTGATATAAATGAATGTTCCAAGGAAACCTGATGTTATAAGGGTGGTGTTATGTCATGGGAACAGACATGGTTGCAGGGAATTTGTGTAACTTGCATAACTCATTTTGGGTCCCCCTCCTCTTTTAAAAATTTTAATGGGAATTAACATGACGTTTGGGACTTTTTGTGATGAACCCAAACAGGAATTCTCGGTCTTCATGGTATGCTGAATCAAGAACAGTTTGAAGCCTCACAAAGAAATGAGAGACTTGTGGATAACCAGGGCAGATTTCAAGGTAATTCAGTCAACTTTTTTACAGTGTTCAGCTGGTGTCACAACGTTTCCAAAGTTTCCTCTAACGTTTCAGATTGTTTTTCAATTCTATTAGTGAAAATACCTTACGTTCGATACCTACAAAAGAATTTCCAATGGACATGCAGAAACACTTCCACTGACAATAATGGAAGAACATTCCGTCACCACGCATGCACACAGTGTATGCCCAAGAACTACTTGGTAACTCGCACCTTTTTCCCAGCGTGCGCGCTGCTGAGTGTACACGATGCAAATTAGTTGGCTGTCAAGCATTACACAATACAGGCCTATTAGACCTTATTTCTGACAGTTCCGTGTTACTAAAACAAAGAAATGGACATTTAGGGAGACCACAAAAAGGTCTTGTGAAATGTGCAGGATCTCCATCCCCTGTGGAGTTTGACATTCACACAACATACTTCAGATGCCATCTGTGCTCACAGGAAAACTCTTGTGGAATTTGTTTCAACTGGACTTCTGAAGAATTGAAATCATTCACATCAGTGCAGGCCAGTACTATGTCATGCGTATGCTGAACTTTTTCTTACTTCACATGTCAGGCTTGAGTAGACTCGGCCATACATCTACTTGAACTGTCCACTTTACAACAGGGACTCACCACTTTACAACAGGGACTCACCACTTTACAACAGGGACAGTGTGGACCACACTTCAGCTGGGATTTACCACTAGTGCTGCAGCTGTACCGCCGAACCGAAATAAAAATAGCCGAACTTGGCCTTCCGAACCGAGCCCGGACCAAACCGAAACCAAATGTCGGTTTGGAAGAGTTCGGCAAGCATTTGTTTATTGCCCTAGGCATGCTAAAGCTTGCAATGAAAGGGCAAACCTAAAGCGCACGGATGATTGAATTTACCGTGTTGACAAGTCACCGCATTCATCTTCATTGTATACGATGTTCTAGCCAGGCATACAATAGGATATATCGGGCCGATATGCTTTGAAAAAATCGTACGCACCTGCAATTCTCTCCATGAAAAGCGTGCTCTTTGACAGCGCAGCCAATATAATTCCAGTGTGACGTATTCGTTTGGACCAAACCATTTGCAGTGAAGGGTGTGCTTTCCTCGGCACAATTTACCAGCATTTTCAGTTTTGTTCACCGTGTCCAAATAACAAATAATACGTTTTATGGAGTCAGAAGCCTTTCCCTTGTTCAGAATCGTCACAGTATATTTTTTTTGAAAAACGATGTAATCTTCCAAAAGAGGGTGGAGCACCCTTTTACAAAATTAATGGATCTGTCCACAGAAAGAGAATTTGATGAAAGCTGCGAATCAAAATGTTGATTGTTTTTTAGGGTATAGCTACCGGTATTTTTCAACTTGTTGCAAAAATAATAATGATTTCTTAGGTTTAGTACAGTAAAAGGACCCGTTTGTTGTTAGAACAAAACTAATCATCAATAATTGCCATGAAGCAAGTTTTTAGTGCTCAGGGCATGCTCAGACCATGCTCGGATCAAGTCATTACGTGTGGGAAAATTTTGGGCATTGATAAGGTAACATGTAGCAATTTACGATGTTCATTTCTCAACATCATAAACTCAAATTATTACAGTATTTTTGTTACACAACAAAAACGAGATTCCTCCTTCAACTTGTGTTGTATAGCATGTTGAAATTGCGGTGCCTATTTCTGTCAGACGTGCGCGGCACACACGTGTTTGTTCGAACAGGGAAACAGCCTATAACTGAAAGTGTCTCATTATTTGAAATTTGAAGAAGATGCAAACTTGCTTTCAAGGATGTAAGTGTCTGCCTAGGCAGTACTGTACAAAAACATTACAGGTGACGTCATCAAATGTTAAAGTGCCCTCTGGCGGCATTTAAAAAAGTCAAACATGGATTTAAACATGCATTTTGAGTTGATGTGTGTGGCAAAGTTTGCGGTTGTTCCAACAACCTCTAGATTGATTGATTGATTGATTGATTGATTGATTGATTGATTGATTGATTGATTGATTGATTGATTGATTGATTGATTGATTGATTGATTGATTGGATCGATTCGGATCGATTCGGATCGATTCGGATCGATTCGGATCGATTCGGATCGATTCGGATCGATTCGGATCGATTCGGATCGATTCGGATCGATTCGGATCGATTCGGATCGATTCGGATCGATTCGGATCGATTCGGATCGATTCGGATCGATTCGGATCGATTCGGATCGATTCGGATCGATTCGGATCGATTCGGATCGATTCGGATCGATTCGGATCGATTCGGATCGATTCGGATCGATTCGGATCGGATTGGATCGGATTGGATCGGATTGGATCGGATTGGATCGGATTGGATTGGATTGGATTGGATTGGATTTTTTTATTGATTTTTTTATTGATTTTTTTATTGATTTTTTTATTGATTTTTTTATTGATTTTTTTATTGATTTTTTTATTGATTTTTTTATTGATTTTATTATTTTTTTTTTTATTTTTTTTTTATTTTTTTATTTTTATTTTTTACCAAACCAGTATACATGTGCAAATTTAATCACTCACTAGAGTATTAGGGGGCCTATACACTGTTTATACATGCTTTTTTTTAATAAAAAATGTGGCTTCTCCACCCTTATTTTTAATTGAAATGTTGTAATACCACATCCAATTTGGCCTTTGGGCCACGATTTGTGGCTTAATAAACAAAACATTCATTCCTAGTTTTCCCACCATAACACAAACAAAACTTTTCATACATGTATCAACATAAAACTTGGTGTTTCGGTTAGTCTGGGGATCTTCCAGAAACCTGTCATATTTTTTTTAACCCTTAGGCCAAAGGTCAAGTTTATTATGATTAAAACAACAGAAAAAGTTTTCTCAACATACGTACACATGTACATGTATTACTAAATCAATTTGAGACTTACACCGTGGTACCGGTACATGTATGTGCAGCTCCGTGGGTTGTTCTTAGGATTTCGAGTTACTTTCGGACCCCATAGGCCAACTGTTGTCATTATTAAAAACAAAAGAAATGATGTCATGATGATAACTTAAGCTTATTCAAATAACCATATTTTCTTTTGAATATGTAAACATTCTGATTTCCTTGTCATATAGGCCTTATGCTCAAATCATTATGCTCAAAGGATTCGCCTTTGAGAAATGTCTTGCTTTATAAGACTGAAAATATCCAGTCAGTTTGCTTAAATCACTTACGATGACTTCCCAACAGAAAAGTAAAAAAAAAAATATTCTGGGATCATAGGCATCAATACATTACATATAAACCGGTAACCTACAGCGAACAAAAACCATGCCAATGAACGTTCCATGTGACCCAGGTAAGTTGATGTTAATAGAGTGGTGTTATGTCATGGGAACAGTCATGGTTGCGAGGCATTTCTGTGTTTTTTAACACTACTTTGGTATTTTGATGTGGAGTCCTGATGTCTTTTTTACCACATTTGTGTTGTTCTTTTCAGGTATCGCCAAGTTTAGTATTCCTAAACCAGTACATGGAAATGAGAAAAATAACACAGATGTTGAAGAATCCCTTAAACTTCTGAAGAGTAATGACGCCTCTCTGAAGACGCTCAATCTCAACAACATCATTGTAAGTGTTTTATTTTGACGCACATTTTGTTCAACAATGACACAGGCACATTATTTATTAGTATACATAAATTTACATGTGCATTTGTGGGTGAAAGTCTGATTGTTGGATCTCAACCCAGTATCTTGTGAAATAAGTTGTGGTTGCTCCCTTGGAATGAAACCTGATAAGGGCCAAATGAAGCCAAATACTGACCGTGTCCCTACCCGGTTTTAAACCAGATGTACCATTTTTGTAAAAGTTCCAAAAATTAGAAAAAAAACCCCAAAATTCCATCAGTGTTCTGTTGAAAAATTTTACATGAAATGCTCTTCATGTTCAGAAGCTATTTCTGTGAACGGAGCATGTAAATAGGAGCATTACTGTTTACACCTCCTCCCCAATCCCAAAATAACATCCTCAAAGACCAATTTTGAGGATGTTTTAAACATTGAAGTCCTTTTTTTTCCTCTTACATTTATTTTTATTTTAAGGTTGAACAAAGAAAGTGACTGGAGCAGGGTTTGAACCTACAACCTGATTACCATTTCGGTGTTCAACCTTAAAATAATTATAATGCACCTGGTTAGTTTCCCTGTATGGTTTCTTTGTAATAAAAAAGTGTATCCTCTCTGAGTGATCCCCGGTTTATGGCTTCTGATTAGCGTCTCTTGAACAAAGACATTGACTAAATGGGGAGCCAATGGTAGGCTGGATAGCTCAGTTGATAGAGCACCAGAACGGTAATCCGGAGCTTGCAGGTTCAAACCTCGCTCCAGTCAATTTCTTTGTTCGACCTTAAAATGATCATAACCTAGTCAGTTTCCCTGTGTGGTTTCTTTGAAAACATTTATTTTTAGGCATGCTTAGGTGGGCGGGTGGCAATTTTCTGTTCAGTAGCAGACATTGTCAATCCTGACAAATTTATAATCAATCACATCACGCTCTCTCCTTGACATGAGAAGTTATCACACTGTGTGGAAAACACATAGTTACTCGAGGTCTTGTTTTCCATTAAAATTATCCCAAAGATGAACTTGGAGAACAAATATAATTGATAAACTAGATTTATGTTTGTGGACAAACACAGGGCTGTTTCAGTAACTTTTTGTGACATATATATGTTTCAAGTATAAGTCCCATCCAGGAAGGATGTGTGGTTATGTATATATTAAATGGTGGCATAAAAATATGCGATTTCATTCTCATAGGGCTTTGAATTATGACGTCCCATGTCACGTGATGACGTCATGATGACGTCACATCAAAAAAGAAAATAATTTGTTATTGTATTTTTATGTCATGTAAGGTTGATAGGACAACATGTGCGGTAGAGTGATCAGGACCAATACAGTTCTGAAAATATTGGCCTTCAAAATATGCATGTCACGTGTCGTCTTTAAAATGACATCACATGTCACGTCATCGTGTCTTCACTTCAATTTTCATCTATAACAGATCCCAGTCTAGGTACGTACCAAGTTTCAACCCAATCGGACTAGCAGTTCTGGAGATATAGGCCTTCAAAATATGTTAGACGTCATATGTCACGTGATGACGTCATCATGACGTCAAGTAAATTTCTGGTCTAGGTACATACCAACTTTCAACCCAATCGGACAGGTAGTTCTGGAGATAACGCCCAATCTGTCAGATCTAGCCGAATTCTGCTAGAAAATGGTCACAATAGAAAAATCGCATATAATGTGACGCCATTTGACTCGTGATGACGTCATGATGACGTCAATGTTCGGCGCACATCTTCAGATGCTGGTCTAAGTGTGTGCCGAGTATAAAGTCAATCCGAGTGATTTTAATGCCCTAAGTGCCTTCCACTGTAAAAACGTGTACAAATGCTATGGGGAATGGCTGAAAAGGAGGGAGAAAAACAAACAAAAAACCAAAAACGGGCACATAGTTCAGCTCACTATACACTAGGCTATTGTGGCACCTCACAAGAGCTGTTCTTTAAATACTTTAATGCACATGTAACTACTCTGCTCCTCGAAACGGAAAACGGAATTTGAATCTGAAGAAAATAACTTCTGCAATTTTGTTGATAAAAAAACATAATTTCGTTAAATTTATTGAGTGCAAAACGAATTGTTGATGATTTATTGAACAGACGAGCCATATAACAAATGAGCGGTGTATATATCACGATTTTGGCAGGACAAAAATGTTCCAGATCAGAGCAATAAATGTTATGAGATTTTTACGCGTAGTCATGGGAGTGACAGTCCCGATGCATGCCGTAGCTGTCGGTCAGCGCACGGGTGAAAATCATCACACTCACGGCACGCTCTTGCGGGTCTCTTTTGCTCCATCGGCAGGTTTATTTTTCTCCGTTCAATCAATCATCTATTTGTATAACATCTAACTTTGGCTCTTTTGAAATGCATGTTGTGCTTAGGTCCAAAAATCTACCGTAAACTATCCTATTTTGTCGTTAACGTTAGTGCGAAAACAAAATGGCGGACATGAATTTCGCTTCGGCCAGCTGATGTGAAGTGTGACGTCATGGGATTGGCCTGTACGGCTATTGCATGTTTCTTCCAAGTGTGGCAGTGGCGGTGCATTATACGACTTGACTGTGAGGAAGTTAAATACTACGTCTGTACATTGATCGGCCGTTGATAAAAAAAGCAATCTTTTGGGGGCAATTTTCCCGCGTTTCAACCAAACGACTATTTTATTATCGTCTTGGAATTATTTTCTGTGTACATGGTATCTGTTTTAATGCCTTTTAATATTGAATAAATGTGAAACGGAATTTTTCAGCCTGAAATGGAATTTAGGATTTTTGAAAACGGAATTTCCACTTTTCTGAAACAGAAAAACATTGGCCCTAAACTAGTTGACGGTGTGACGTTATTGTTCTTTTCTCATGGATAAACATAACTTTCCCATCAAAACTACTGAATTCCATTACAGAAAACACCTCACCTCTGTTTACCTTCATTTGCATATCAGCGCAAGCGCACAAACCTCGATGAATAAAAAGGCGCCCAAGCCACACCTTCCGCGCCCACTGCATGTGCCTCATAAGGCCCTGTGACACAAAGGCTCAATGTAGCGTCCACATAGTGTGAACTTAACTAAAAAAAAGCCATATCCCGTTGTGCTTACAAGAATGGCGAACGTCGCCAAAATGAAAAAGAAAAGCTCAAGCTCAAGCCGTACGATTCATCGAGTAAATCTTCTTCCAGTACTTCAAGCGTTATATTTCCACCACAGCAAACCGGGTCTATTCCCTCGGGTTTGATGGTTGGAAATGCCTTGGGGAAGAGCCTTAGAGTCAGTGCTACTCCCTAGGAAATCCTGCACATCTTTGATAGTCTATGAGAGCACATACAGGCAGCTGAGTCGGAGGTTGCTTCACTGTCAAATGTGTTTGCTGGCGGCGGGGGCTGGGGGTTTGACACCATGGGTCACTCGGTTATTCGACCAGCCCCGCCTGGTCACAGAGAGGGCTGGGGCACCACACCACCACCACCAAGCTCACCACAGTCATCACGTTTAATCGAGTTTCCTAGGTGAGACACAGAGTTTTCTTCACATATTTTCCGAAACACCCACTTGTTGGGATTTGTTGCTTCCTGCTATGACGTTCACTTTGTAAGTGACGGGCCCGGACGCATACACAAGTGTTTGTTGACTGGAAGTCAAGTCTATGTTTATCGCCCGACCGTCAGTTGTTGTTGTACTCGAGCGGTTGTTAGGCACGTAGAACGTGCGCGTATATTCCAGCCAATTTTGTTACATTGCACGCTACCGCCATGTGTAGGCGACACTTTGTAAAGATTTAGGTGAAATATTGGCTTGTTATTGTCCCTTGAAGTATTAATGGGTAAAAAAAATGTTCCTTTATTTGTTGTACTATGTAACAGAGATATTGCTTGTTTAATCACCTGCATAATCTGGTAAAATGTGTGCTCAATTAACGGTATATTGTGTAACTTTCCGAGACCACATTTGGTATCTTTCAGTCAGCATGGTCAGTGCACATAACATGTGTTTTGCGTTATGTTTAACATGTTTTATGTAAGGTAACTCTAGGTTTGTTCTATTATATGTTTAACTTTAGGCTAGAAGTAGATAGAGTTGCAGTAGCCATGCATGTCAGTGACCAGAGTTGAGTGTAGGACGTTATAAGCTGGTCTAAGGCGTGAACGGTAGGATTTGCATCTGCAGTAATAATTACAAATGTATTCTGTAAAGCCTAATGTCATTTATTTTAGAAATGTACCTGCTTTGTTTTGGATGCTGTACAATACTTTTAGGATTCCAGGAGAATTGTGATAGATTCTGATGATATTTGGAAACGTCTGCCTTAATGTTCATGATTATTGCAGACCCTTATTTTCTGATCGAAGTGACAAGTTTTAGGGATTTTGTGCTCACATTACAGCCAGTTGTACTGAATGATTTTGCATTCATGGCATTTGGTTTCATTGATTCTCTAGGGGATTTCGGCTCTAAAATTGCTCTATGTAATTCCATCTCATTTTGAGGACAGAAACATACATGGCTGTCATTTAAATTGGATTGTAAGTAAGATTTGAGGCTTTGCATGGTGGAGATACTAAATAATGAAAGGTTTGCGGAAACACCATGTGCGAATAATTTCTCAACCAAGAGAATGGTTCTGAAAAGAACCAGAGGTATAAACTTGACGTTCCGGTCAGTATGCTCTGACCGTCTTCAGGAGAGTGTTTTGGATTGTAATTTGTTTTCTGTAAATTTATGTCTCCAGTTTTCACGGTGATTTTGGGTGATTTGGATCAACAATAAACAGCTCAAAACATCAGTCAGAAATCGTCTTGTCATCCATTTAATCAAGTTCTACATAAACCAGCCCCCTCGAGCGCTTAAGTGCGCTATACACTTGTCCTGGACAATTTGTTCCTCCTATCAGTCGACTCCAAGGACCGCCTGCTAGATTTTCCCCTGAGAGGGGGCGATTGGTTTAATGACAGGTTCGGCAAGAGTATGAAGCAGGAAGCCACAATGCCTCGAGA